GATATAATCAAATATAATAAGAAGACTCAATTATTTCTCTAGTAAGGATTACAACCAACCTTAATCTCAATTACACCAACCTCAAACAACATATAAAACCAACCAAAGTGACATCCTAATAATTAAAAAAACCTCACAAATAATAAAACATCTTTTGAGTTCAGCTTTTGTAAAAAACCTCAAAAAAGGTTCAATTTGAATTACACAATCATGAAGAAATTCTACAATAATCATGGATATGAAAGTCTATAATTAAAGAGCAAGTCAAGGGATTCTTAGTCAACTGAAAAGAACTTGGAATATGGAGAATGGATAAAATGCAAAATAAAAATCCATAATAGAGTCAAGAATCCAACCTTACAAGGCCAACTTTTAATGTATTAATGCTTACATGGACCCAATGCCTCTTCACCTAAATTAGCTACTCAGCTCTATGCTACAACAAATTTTCATGGATTTCCTTGCATATTCTTGCTCAAGCTACATAAAGATCATGGCTTTTGTAGCATCCAATGTAACAGTCAATGGTTCGAACTTCACCAAAGCTCACATGTAATGTATATAAGTATCTAAGAGAGGCCACACAGGCTTAGTCTTATCCTCCTAACTATCTTCAAGGTTCTACATCCCATATGGGACTTATGCACCTCCTTTCTTACAAGGACTACACTAGTTGCTAGTCATCCTATTTTCTACTAAGAGATCCAACATTTTTATAATTTTTAATTCACCATGGTATTCAAAAATACCCAAATAGCTTAAGAACATTGTATGGCCTTCAAATTTTCCTCCATTTCTTCATAATAGCTTCCAAAGTTATAAAACTCATTTTTATCAAAGTCTTAAAAATTACTGTAAAAATCCTAAATAAATTCTAAATAAATTCTAAATAAATTCTAAAAATTCCTATAATAGTTTTAATGCTAATATCAATTGAAGGCTATAATTTCGTATCTTGATGATTTTTTTTATAGTAATAAAATCAATTTAAATCCACTTATAAATCTTATTTTCCATATAAATAACTAAAAAGATATGAGGTTCTTTTTTATACTTCTTTTAGCTACTAACTAACATTTATAATTTTTTATAAGTAATACATATAGATAGAAGGCCAATATAAATATTAACCTTTATAAATAATCCTTAATACTCAATAATAAGTAAAAAATACCAAACCAACTAAGATAATTGCCTCAAAGACTTATTAAGAGTCTAATTCTACAATTAACATTTTAATTTTCTATTTTTCTAAAGATTTCTACAATATTCACTATATATTGTGATTTTAAGAAGTCTAAATACATAATTTTGTCCTAAAAAAACTAATGAGTCAATTTAATTACTTACAATTCTCTTCAATCAAATTCTACTAAGTTAATAACTGAGTTAGTTTTTATAGACAAACTAAATCTTATATTTTATACAACCAAGACTAAGAAGGAATTTTGTAAAGAAATTTGCCACCATATCTTTTCATAAAAAAAACTATAATTCCAAGATATCAAAAGACTATACATATCAAGAATAATAAAAATATAGAAGAATGTATTCAGAATTAAAATTAAAATTAGATTGTATACAAATTTTATTATAATTTGATTATTTGTGTGTGAATCATCAAAGTAATGCATTTATAATCTAAGAAAAAATATTTGCACTTATAGTACCAAAACCACAATTATTAATTGAGTATGTATAACAAATCCTAAAAGTATGAAAAGTTAGTATTAGTTATAAGAATACTTCTTGTCAAAATTCTTATACAAATTTCTAGAATCTAGTATGTAAAGAATTATTACTTGATTAGTATTTTCTTTCTTTCTTTCTTTCTTCTATAAAAAATCATATTGTCCTTAAAAATATAAATTAGTTAAATTGACATTTATCATATCAAATTCTATATAAGTCTAGAAAGATAATTTTGAAAAGGTCCAAGAGACTATCAAAGCCATATTAGTGAGAAACAAGAAATGCATTATTATCAAATTAAGAAAAGATCAAAAGTTGATCAAGGTCATGCTTTAGCAACATCATCTTAGTTGATTGTTGGAATTTAAATATATTACTTGTATCTAATGTGTATATTAATATTTAGTAATAGAGTGATTGGTGGATATTGTATGGCAGGACTAGAACAACCTTGCCAAGCTCAAGTTAGAATATTAGCAAATACATGTACTTTAAAGTATTAAATAATAAAAATTTAAAAATCATTAATTAATATCTTTAGAAGAGCCTTGATATCTTTTAAATTTAATAATAAATTGGCTAAAATAATATAATTTCTAGAAAAGAGGGTTGTTGATAGGGATTTAGTGTTGTATAGTATATTGTCTTATTTGAGAATGCATCTTACACTTGGCTATAGAAAATAAACTAGAAATTGCAACAAACAAAAAACTTGACAACTCTAATAAAATCTTTAATAAATTCAAATTAAACCTTAACAATCTTAATCAAAATTAATTATTTTAATTATGTTATATAATGCATATGCCTATTAAAAGATGATTGTAAGATTTGGATCTTCAATTCTTACATCTTCTAGATTGTAGTACATAATTATGTTATTATATTTCAAGTTGTAATGTATAAGCAACGGGTCATAGTTATGTATATACAACAAACTCCATGACATATGCCATAACCAATTCTTTGCCGTCATGATGTCTACGCCCTTGTACTTCTTTTGATATTGCCAAAAGTACACATCTCTATGATAAAATTCTTATTATCTATTTTTGTGTTTGTCCTTAAAGTGCAATACTTTATTATGAATGTATGTTCTTACCTATGATCACACTATGGTCATTGGCCTCTTTTTGCTTCTTGCTCTCCTTCCAATCTATCAAAAGAATTGATCCACCTACAATTTGTATAGCTTGATTATGGCTTCTTAAATATGTATGAACAAATAGGTCTAAAGAATGTCAAAACAAATAGATTTTTTTTAGGAGGCTTGAATTAAAAGGACCTTATAGCACCAAAACTTTCACTCCATAATGACTTTATGTATCACTCTATGATTTTCACAACTATAATTCCAACAAAATGTACCTATCTTGCAAGATTGATTTTTTACTTATATCTTTTTGTTCTATCTTTGACTTACTTTCTACCACTCTCATCCCTATATCTGCACATTTGTTAAAATTAAAAAATCAACACATATTTGAAGCTGGTTGGAAATCTCAAAATTTGAATTCTATATACTATAGATCTTCTCAAGATGCATTGTTGTAATACAACAAAGTCATGTTTGTGCTTTGTGGTAAGTTAATGTTGCTCTCAAAGGTTGGGGTTTAATAAAAGACTTCAATGGATTGTTCTTGCTCAAAGACTCTACATAAATGCTATTTCTTAATCTCTACATACTTAGTCCATTACTTCTCACCTCTTTCAATTGTTACCTTCAAAAATAGGGCTTCCTCCCAACAACTTATATCAATGATATCAATTTCTTGCCATCTACACACTTATTATATTTGGCCTCATATTCAAGCAAGATTCAACATTCTTGTGTCACATCAAAGAACATACATATTTCATTAGCAATTCTTCCTATATTTTTGACTCAGAATATGTTGTAAACATGTTCTCCTTATAACTAACTTTGTCTCTTCCATAGTATTAATCTAATATTGATTAAGGTTTAGAAGTCCCATTAAGGTCATGGCCATCACTTCTTTAACTTTGATCCTATTGCAAGCTAATTCACCTAAAGAAGTCCTTTCTATCGTAGCAGTAGTATACAATTCTTATACTAAACATACATGAATTGTGACTGAGCAAGTTCCAAAGCAATTTTGGTTTTAATTCCCATCAAACCACTAATTTGCCAATAAAGGTGTATTTTAAATAATAAAATGATTTTAACTCTTTATTATACTTTCTATTAATTTTCATCTAATTGGTCAAACTAAACTTTCTAAAATACAATTTTTTTATCAAATGCATGCATATCATAATAAAATTTTATCCTAATGTAAGAGAATTTGGATAGAGAGTTTGTAAATATTTCTTGTAAGTACTCGGACAAAGGTTTGAAAAATCCACCAAATTGAATGTGACCACTATATTCTTGCATTGTGAGCTAGACAATGACATTTTCATGTCACAATCAAAGGATCATATCAAATTAGGATAGACATACTCTTATCCATGAGCTTCTTAATTAAATATTTTCACACCTACCAGCTTTGTTCTATAAGGACAGCAAACACAGACTAGTATTAGTTATGCTATAATGCAATATCAAACATTTAATTCCTTCCACGATCCTTACAAGCACACCAGTAACATCTACCAAAACTTCTCACCAGGAACCATCACAAGTTTTTTCTTCATTTTTAGATACAAAGGACACAATTTGCACTTCTATTGCAGGAGAATTGCTTCCACCAACTTTTGCACGTTATAACAAGACGCACTGAGATAGTTTTTTGTGACGATCTCTCAAACAATTTACACCCTACATCTTACTAGCTTGAGGCATTATACCAAGCTGGGCAAACAAGATTTGACCAAGAAATTATGGTAGAATAATCCAGCAAACCAATAACCAATTTTGCAATCAATTTACAACAGTTACTCTTGGGGCAACATAAACTTGGCTCCCACATATCAGCAAGTAGTACACAATATCCACCCCCATCACCACATCTAAATTAACACATCTTGACATCTCCCAATTCTTTGAAGCAAACAAGAGGCCACCAAGACAATCCTCACAAAACTCTAACAAGACAACCCAACTTCTACCCATTGGAGACGAATTTTCCTTGTCTATCTGCGTACAATTTTGTACCAGATACAACACAACACATTTAGACTACCTGCTGTACCTAGGTCATAACCTAGTGCATCTCCTAGATACTCAACTTATCCAATTCGGGATTGTGACAATTAAGTTCTCTATCCGAATCCTAGCTAAATTAATTGTCAACATTACAAAACCTATATAAAATCACACAAACTAGCCATGCAACATTGGAAAATAAAAGTAATAGACTAATGTATCAAAACACATTCATCGGATTACACATTCTGTAATAAAAGGTTATTGAAATCCAACATCACACACCTTTCTAAACAATCTCCAAACTTTCAACCTAAAATTCAAATCCTACTTGGACAAATAACACAGAGACCTCCGAAATATTGATACTTCTACATTAGGAGGAATATTCTCATACTTGCATCTTCTCACGTAAAAACAACCCATTGTCCACCACAGTACTTTGATGGACTAACCACTCAATTGTGCTTGTAGAAATGCATTAACCGTCAATTCCTCAAGTATCAAAGATTTTGCGGACGGCACGAATAGGCTGACGACATATGGGACACGTTGAAGAATTTCCTTGTATCCTGCACAGCAAGAGGATACAAAGATCACAAAAGCTAGAATAGATCCAGATATGCTTTCAAAATATATTCATGGAGTATAAAAATTCAAGAAAACTCGGAACAAGAGTTGGGTCTTCAATATACAAGGCGAAAAACAGGTAGTTAGGGAATTGGTCTTCATTATCGACTATTAAGAATCGTCAGGTTGAGGTATGAGCTAAAAGATCCAAAAATCAATCAATTACACATTTTATAATCACAAATAAGCATTAAGTCACCACAACCAGAAATGGAGAAAAAAATAACATCTCCCTGGTGCAAAATGGTTCATTTATGAACTCATGATTAAAAAGTCAGAAGATCCAAGAAGAGAAACCTACCTCTGACCACAAGTAAAGCAGGTGCATCGATGACCGCAAGGGTCGAAGAAGCAATCCTTCGGTGCGTCCAAACAAATGTTGCAGAGGTGGTGATCACTACTAGGACTTTCACCAAGTTCATCTAAACTCCCTAGTGGAGGATGAGCTGTACCACTTGGAGAGTAGCTTGTTACAGCACTGGGCACCGCCTGATCGTTTTGTGGAGCCAACAAAGGAAGTTCCTCTTGATTATTCCGCCAAAGGCGTACCCCTCTTGCTTCTGCACCGCACAGGATAAACAATCCCAAGGCAATTGTCCCTGCAACCAACATTGGAGAACCGCATAAGATAGTCGGCCCGCGTTTTCAAATGACATTGAAAAGAAAAAAGTTTCTTGAAAATAAATCAAAGGCGGGTGATTTCGTCCAAGCGGATCTACTTATGTGAGGTGAGCGCAATCATGGAGAGGAGTTTCAATACCCCAGATTAAGAAAAATGTGGCCCATCGTGCAGTATAGACGATATGTACCTCCCAAACGTCCACACCACCCTGCAGTCAACAGAAAACTTTGTCACTCACAACTTTTAGCCCAGACATTTTATAGAATGCTACAATTTATCACTTGTGACACTTATAATTCAATCTTTTCACAATCCCTCATACGTGTTGCAAACAATCACTAAGTCGCATAGTCCAAAATGCACTGATAACCAGAAAGTTCGCCGGAGACGAAGGACCTACCTGTGGTTCACTAGGTGTAGCTAGCACTAGACAATCCGACTGAAACAGAGACACATGAAAGGTGACCGCATCAAAGTCGGGAGTAAATGCTGTGCTATTTTTGGCGCCTTTGACATCGTAAAGTGTACTGTGTATCTTCATTTCAGTTGTTACCTGCTCCAATACCCCAATACTGATGAGACCATAATGGTACAATAAAATTACCTCTTTCTCTTAAGTATTCGACTAAACTCTATTAATTGCATGTTATGATCTCAGAACATAACTATTCTGACTTACCATCAACTTTATAACAATAAACTTGTGCTTTAACTATGCGAAATCCAACCAATACCAACTCTACCATGCATAGTTGAACATAACATTGTGCTTGATAAAAACCCTAATTCATTGCAACATCAACCGAATGAAGAGGACTATGTTCAGAGATGCTCATGCTGTACTTCTAAGATAGGTTCAGGGAAAACCTCCATATCTTGAATATTGAGATTGCCGAAAGCAATGAAGTGCTCATCATCGTGATCTACCACAAATTCTTTAATCCCATTTCCTGCAATACAAATAGGAACGGAACACTAAGCTTGAGATAGGCCTTACTCAAACATTAACCATTCCAATACATCCCCTAAAGAGAACACGAAACTAGAATTTGTGGAGACATAACTTTGATATAATGTGACCATCACAACAAGACCTCAAAGGCCATAAATCTGATGGATGACGTATTAACTCTCTGTTTCTGGCCAAAAATAAAGAGCTTTTACCATGAATTCGATACCACTTTAGAGCTTTGGTTGGGGAGTTGGGAGCTTTTTTCCAATCCTCAAGCCCCTGCGTTCCTGTATCTCACCCCAACAAAATTGGATGGTCCCCCCTACTTCGTTAAGACATTTGAAATGTTTTCAGTAGTACGAGTAATAATTTATAAACAAAACTGCAAATACTCAGATTGAAGTTGGCAGCACCATTAACTTCATCTAATCCGCGTATTTATTGTAGTGGATATGATACTTGATATACAACGCACTAGAAAAAACTACCAGTAATAAGTCAAAAATTAATTAAAAAGCACTACTTGCAACTTCAACTTTGCGACCAACATTACGCATAATTGGACAATAGAAGGTTTGTTTTCACACCTTTGATAAATGCAAGCACAAGGGAATCTCCTGCTAATCCCTTCACATCGTATGAAACCCGGATTGTAGAACCTTTATTAAGCCAATAACGCCATTCCTGCACAGATCAGGGACATTATCAAGTATTTAATGATAAGTCAAACAAGTACTACACTCCATACTGGTGAAAGAGGAGGTTATTGAGAAGGTGGAATAAGGGCGTTCTTTCTCTTGCAATAGTCTCAAATTCCCATAGTAGGGTGTCCTGCAGTGGAGGCAGTCGTCAATCCCACGCTTAACCAGCCACAAAAAAAAAAAATTAAAATTAAAATTAAAATTAAAAAAACCATGTCGTTTCTTGGAATCTTTACCAGAAACTCACTCGAAGACTGTCGTATATATTTGAAAGCACAACCAAACCCGAAGAGATTAAAAAAGTTTAAAATTCTCATTTTTCAATCTTTTAATAATAATAATAATAACCATCATATTCTTTCTTTTCTTTTTTTTAAAAAAAAAACCCACATAAATAACCATAATTAGCACAAAATTGCCTACCCTGTGGCTGAAAGTTTCCACCAAGTCGACATGATTCTCAATATAGTCCACCGATTCACGTAGAGCAGGCCTTTCAGAGAATGAGTAGATAACAGGACCTGGATCCCTTAAATTTTGTATCTGCGAACTACACGATTAATATCAAATCAACGTTGATGCTTACATCCACAAAAACAAGAAAAAAAATTAAATCGCATAATCTGCATTCTATGAACGTAAATCTGTGTCCGAACATTTCGTTGCATATGTATCGGAAAATCTGAGAGAGACACGGGTTATTTATGCTTGCTAATATCACACTTGCTAAGCGATAACCATCAAAATAAAGGGATACAAACACAGAAAGATGATGACCTGTATCTCCTTCACGAACACTGAATAGGTAGATATGAGACGTGAATAATTCAACGACATTGGTGCTTGCTCCGATTGGAAGAAACCAAATATTACAATTAGTGATCCTGCGCATATACACAGTGAACATTAATGCACTTATCACAGGGCGGATATTATTGAATTGAAAATACATAAATAAGATAAGACAATCATCCATAAAGAAGTCAATTCAGAAAACAGCTAACCTCCAAAATAAACTGCAATTATTAAAATCCTAGCCCTTCCAAAGGTTTACTCAGTCTGGGAATTCATGCTGTGAATACAACTGATATTACCTGAAGAAACTCGAATTGCACTGCGTACATTATAGAACAGTCATACAATGTAATTTAAATGCCTACATTCAGTTAAATTTGAAGCGCTGAAAGCGTTTTCACAAGAAGCAACTGCTAATTCTTTGTAATCAAGAAAACATGGAAGATTACTGAGGTGGTATGTTTTGATGATACTTCGATAGGTGAGATAAGATTCCTACGAACGGAGGTCGATGATTATCTTCTAGTTACTCTCAAGCAATTTGAAAAATTTAGGGTGAGCCAACAAGATCGTTTATGTTGTACATCTTCAGATCAATGAATAGTAGACGACCCTGCAACCACAATAACCTTTATGAAAAATGACACAATTCTAGAAATAGAAGATCAGGAAATACCAATGCAGGTGAAGAAGGGAACAAATATGGAACACGGTTTTCCACATCCTCCTTCGCATCCGCTGCCGCCCGATGACTCCCTCTGATTGTTACCACGGAAGGAACCAACAAAAGAGTTGGAATAAAAGGGATCCCTATGATGGTGGTGATGATGCGTTGAGGAATCAAAGTCGAACCTGCCCCCGCTACTACTTGAACCAAACGAACTCCCACCACCGGATCCAAAGCTGTCTCCACTAGAAATCCCCATCCTCCCTCCTCGTCCCGAACAAAACCAAAACTCTACAACGTGGTCACCAACACCACTTTTCCTCACCACCCAATGACTCTTAACGTCTTCTTCCACCTCAAAATCCCGCAACCTTTACCCACAGTACCCTGCAACTCTAACGCACTCCGTGTCTGGCTCCCGAATCACACCTCCCACAATGCAGTCCACTGAACCCACACAATTAACTTCTCCACCATGTCACAAAAATCAAGCCCTAACTGGGAATTCAGAGTTGCACTACATTACGCGTGACCGACAGAAGATCGCGCCGACGCCAAAGTGAACAATCACAACATGATGCAATGGTAATCATTTATAACTAGTAATAAGACAGAGGAAATGAACTCAAGGAATCAGGAGGAGGAGGAGGAGCAGCGGAGAGACCAGGATCCGAGGGGCCTCCATGCGCATCATCAACCTTACGAAACCATCTTCCTCTTCTTCTCCAGCTTCTCTTTCTGCCAGAGCCTCATCATCACCAAATCCCGGCACATTTTACCCACATCATCGAATTCCGTGTACACGCTGGAACAGAAATCACGTGCAAATCCTCTTCTTCCAGGGCTTGGATTCCTTTCCTTGCCCATCGCCGCCCCACTTTTTTTTAGCAAGCTCCAACAGAGCCGAGCGGCGTTCATCCAACGACGATTTTCATCCATTAACTACGAATCGTATGTATATTTTGTAATGTACGATCTGTATTCTCATTGTACGCCAAGCATATCGGAGCAGTTTGGGAACGTATCTCTGAAAATGTGAACGGATTTGGGGTAATAGAAATTGGAAATGTAAGGAGATCCTGCGGCGCTTCCTTACCGTGAGGCATTTCTTTCCGCAGCGGCTCCGGACTCTCTCCCTCGTTCCTATTGAACTGTGGTTGTTGCTTGTAGAGCTTGTGTCGGTGATTGAATTTGTGGTATTTTATTCTACATTTGATTTCTACTGAAATAAAATTCCTCCTCTTTATTTATGCTTTACGTAGAAAATTATTGTGGCCATTCAATATTTTAATTAAGTCATAATTATAAAGAAGTCAAAAATAATGGATATGATAGTCCAGAATTTATGAATATAGGACTTACATAGAAATTTGAGTGAGATTATGTGGTTTTTAATGTGTTAATAGAAAAATATTCCGAGCATTGAAATTGATTCAAATATAACAAGTAATGTGTAAAGAAAAAAAAATATATAAAAAAAATTTGACAAAAATGGTTGTATAAATGATCTAAAAATCTAAAGATTGAAAGATGGAAAATAAGTAAATAAGTAAAAAATAAAAATCTTAATTTTTTAGATTGAAGTTTTTTAAAATTATAATTATTCAACGTAATTAAAGAAAAAAATTATAATAGTATAAAAAATTATTTTATATTAATATTTATAGAAATAAAAAATTATTTTATATTAATATTTATAGAAATAAAAAATAATAATAAATTAAATTCATATTATTGATTTCAATTTTAAAATATTAATAGATGAACTTGTGTTGTTGTCACAAAAAGTGCAATTCAAATGAAGCTATTTTTGAAAGATATGTTTGTGAGCCAAAGATTTTATTATTTTTTTTATTTTTTTTTTTACAAAATCTGATAATTCTCATAAAATCAAGAGCAAGAGAGGTGGGATTTGCTTAATGCTAAGAGAAACTAGAATAAGGATGTACAGAACAGCCACAACATGGATAATAAGTATACACAATCAAAGATGAAAACTATGAAGAAGAGTTATGATCTAAGTGTTCTGAGTTATATTTACTTTTTATTGTGGATTGTTTAGCGGCAATTTAAGATTGTCCTCGAACATGTTTAGATCATGTTGTTGACTTGATCTTCAAGGGCTAGCATTTATCTAAGCAACTCAAGCCATAAATAAATATGGTTATGTATTGAAGTAGAGTATTAGGGTGAAGAATTTATATAAAGTGCAAATGGAAGAAAGCATGTATATTAAATTACTATCACTGCTCATACTCAAAATACTAAATTGATACATAAGCATGAAAATTATTTTATTAATTTTATATTTTATAAAAAAAGAAAATAAAAATCTAACTTTTATATTGAGGTAGAATTCATAATTTTTAGTAAGAGTAAAGGAAAAAATAACGGAATAGATTCAAGTGAGAGTGCAAGCATTTTAAAAGCCCTAAAGCAAATTTCATAATTATTTTAAGAAAGAAGAATGCTTTGGTCTTCAAGGTCATCTAAAGATGCAAAAGAAGGCAGGTGCTAGATGAAATTGCCAATAACAAGAGTTTTAGTGAATACATGGATTAAGAATTGGTATTTATATGAAGCATTTGATTTTATATTGCAACGTGAAAAGTAAATAGATTCAAAGAAGAACTCATTCTCATATTGACAATAATGGATGACTAACACTATCAATCTTGATTCAAAGTTTTGATGGAGCATTAATTTTCGTTCATGTGATTTTTTGGCTTATGTATGAAACTGCTTATATGCTAGAGACTCAAAAATGTACACTAGTTTATGGAAGAAAATTGTTAGATGATAGGACTCCAAATGACAAAATTGTGTGCTTGAACTTAGGTTTTATTCTAGTATATCCATGAAATGCAATGATAATACAAAAGGCACCATGATAGATATTTAATTCACATCTACACCACATGCCTTTTGTTTTAACTATTTAGAATCTACTTTGAAACTTATAACACAAATAGATTGATTAGGAATGCCATCAATTTAACTACCAATTTTGTAGAGATCTTTGAGACATTTGGAACTTGTTCAAGTTCTAGTCTCTACACAAATAGAAGCCGATCTTAGATGCAAAGCCTCCAAATAAAATGACTACTTCATGCATACAATCTATACTCAAATCTTCTACATCAAAGTCCATTATATAATAAAAACCACCAAGAACAAAGCCATAGCTAAAGAGGTAAGTTACCATGGCCAAAAGACATCAAATGCATGTGGAGAAATTTGACCACATTAATAGGTGGGGTATCCATCATAGAGGCAATCATAGAATAAGCACAGAGAGGCATGCCATCCTTGTGGTCGACTACTTATTTAATAAAATGATTAGTTCTTAATGAACTATAAAATGCCTTCATTGAATTATAAAAAAAATTGTGAACTCCAAAGAATGTGAAGTTTTTTGATAAAAACAAAGAGACATGCATGTAGTAAACTAGAGCCATGACTTATGTCTTTGAGTAATCTTAATATATAAAAATTATAAAAATTATAAAATTATATTAATTTATATAATAGAATTATTTTATTTTATTTTATTTATTTTAATAAAATTATATTAAAATCTTAATTTAAATAAATATTATATAAAATTTAGATATAATAACATAATTTTTTTTATAGTCATAGTTATTATAGTTGTCACAAATATACTATACAGTGTCATAGTTATTATAAATATACTATATAGTATCATAATTATTATAAATATACTATATAATGTCATAATTATCATAGTTGTTACAAATATACTATATAAATATAAAGTGTCCTAATTGTTATAAATACACTATACAAAAGATCAAACAAGAAGTTGAACAAATGAATTTCAATAAGAAAGCTAATAAGAACTTAATTAAAATACATGAGTATAAGATCAATACTAAGAGAGGTGAATTAAAACTCCAAAAGATGTATTATTAAGACTAAGGATCTCTTATCACAGACATATATATTTATATGTTTTTTATTTATATTTACATACTTCTATTTAATAATTATCTATATGATTATTTAGAAGTAGATAAAAGTACATAAAAATAGATTAATTTCATAATACATTCTAAAAAAGCTTTTTAAAAGCTTTATAGATATGATTTTGACTTTATTTGTACTTATTATTAACTTTTAGGTTAGAAACTTAGACAAAAAGTTAGCCATGTGTGACACACGTAGATAACTTATAGAATAAGCTGATTATATGGTGCATACATAGAAAACTTGTCTTACAAGTTAAGACATGTGGCTTATAAAGTCAATACATCTTGGAGGTCTTATAGGACGTCACCATGTAGCTCTTAGGTGGATAGTATATATAGAGGCAATAGTGAAGCTTTCTTCATCATTGTTAATTCCTTTCTTGCTTTAGTCTAGATTCAAGAGTCTTTAGTTCTTTTATCTTTTAGCAATAGTCATTCCAATTTTTTTTTTAATATACATATTTTTTTTTACTTCTATTTCGTCATACTTCTTTGAAAAAAGTCTCAATTGGTTATTTGTTTTATTGGATTCTAGTCTTTGATATATTAATAAGAATCCACTTATAATGTTAGTATTTTATCTTTTCTTGATTAAGAGTGGATTATTCCTTTTTCTCAATAGAACATAAATATATTAGAAGTTGTGGATTATCTTCTTCTAAATTAATAGTATCTTTAGTATTTTTTTTGTTCATAAGTCTTTTCTTTTATTTAACTTCAATAATATTAGATATTTTCTCTTTTTTAAGTATTATTATGGTAGAGGTTCTTAAAATAAAGAATATAATGGCATAAAAAAAAAAATAAAAGAATTAATAGTGGCAATGCATCAACTTAATTTACCATGATAATGAGCAATAAGAATGGTAAGGAGCAAAGATAAAGAAATGATTGGAGTTGCTTCAACATTTGCATTAGATCATATCCCTTATAGTAGAATACCCTTTTAGTATTGAAAAACCAAAGATTGCAATGCGTAAGAAGTTTGATGGCATAAGATCTAAGTTTTAAAGATTTATTATTCAAATACAACTTGTGATTGAATTTCAATTCCAAAGCTATTGAACTTCAAGATCAAAAGTTAGATTCATTGCTACTCCTCTTTCAAAATTTAGTATTATTATGATTTTTATTTTTTTTGGAATGATAAGATCTAATATTAGATAATCTAAAGACTTTTTTTGACAAAGTTTTGATCTATGTATAAAAAACATGATGTAATTTATATTAAAACCAATAAAATTCATATTTTGTGATAAGATAATCAATCAATAATGTTCTATATTTTGTAATGTTGACAACTTACAACTAATATCAAATAAGATGATATTATGCTTGTTAGCCAATTTTTCTATGAATTGTAATATGAGGTAAAAAAATTAATGCTCAATTTATTTGACCCTTAAACATTGAGTCAAGCAATTGACTTTCTTGTGAAATATGTCAATCAATTTTTTGAATTTCAATCTGAGAGTCATACAAGTATGCTTCAATGTTACTATAATTTAATATCTCTTCAACACATATATTCAAAAGTAGAAGATATGCAAATTGATGTGATATATTTCAAACTTCTTATTGAGTAAGAAAAGACTCATTTTCATTAGGAAGGATTGTGCTTGTATTATGAAAAAACTAAGTATATTATTCAATATTATCCAAAGAAGTGACCAACCACAAAACAAAGAATATGGCTATGAAAGAAGATATTATGTTAGAAAAAAAATTTGTCTAGTTACAATAGAGACCAAATGGCTGAAACCTTATGCAACACCTAGTGAAGGTCCGATTCTCTTCTCAAAATCTTTTCTTTATTTTATAATAAATATTATTTTA